TATTTCAGGAGTCTGGGCAGCTGGAAAACAAACAGGCAACCTCCCTTACAACAAATTGGTGCCAACGTGGTTGACTAAATCCACTTAAAACCTGAGAAAGCTTAAAAAGGAACCCTAGACACAAAATAACAGAGTTAAGCATGGCTTGGTAGCGGCATTTTCTTGGGTGGGCTCTGTTTGCTAGAAGCAAGCAGAGGCATGACTCCTTTAAGAGAGGTTTTCCTGATTCCGCAGAAGCAGAAAAAAAGCCAAATCAAAAAAAGATTTCAACACAAAGTCAGTCACGCTGAACCTCATAGAAGAGAAAGTGGGGAGTACACTTGAATGCATTGGCACAGGAGACTACTTCCTAAATGTAACCCCAGAAGCACAGACACTGAGAGAAACAATAATAAATGGGACCTCCTGAAACTGAAAATCTTTTGTAAAGCAAAGGACACAGTCAACAAGACAAAATGGCAGCCTACAGAATGGGAAAAGATCTTCACTAACACCACATCAGACAGAGGGCTGATCTCCAAAATATACAAAGAACTCAAGAAATTGGTCATCAAAAGAATAAATAATCCAGTAAAAAAAAATGGAGTAAAGACCTAAACAGAAAATTCTCAACAGAGGAATCTAAAATGGCTGAAAGACACTTAAGGAAATCCTCAACATCCCTAGTCATCAGAGAAATGCAAATCAAAACAACTCTGAGATTCCATCTTACACCTGTAAGAATGGCCAAGATCAAAAACACTAAAGACAACTTAAGCTGGACAGGGGGTAAAGGGAACACTCCTCCATTGCTGGTCGGAGTGTAAACTGGTACAGCCCCTTTGTAAATAAGCATGGCGATTTCTTAGAAAATTAGGAAAAAACCTTCCTTAAGACCCAGAAATACCACTTTTGGGTATATATCCAAAGGATGCTCAATTGTGCCACAAGTACATGTGCTCAACTATGTTCCTAACAGCATTGTTTGTCATAGCCATAGAGGAATAAAGGAGACCACCTGTTGGTTTCCAGCCACCCAGCTAGCTTAGATCCAAAATAATCACATAGAAACTATATTAATTAAATCACTGCTTGGCCCATTAGCTCTAGCTTCTTATTGGCTAATCTCTTACATATTAATTTAACCCATTTCTATTAATCTATGTATCACCACGTGACAGTGACTTACCGGCTAAAGTTCCCAGCGTCTGTCTTTGGAAGCTCTATGGCTTCTCTTTGACTTTGCCCTCTTTCTCCCAGCATTCAGCTTAGTTTTCCCTGCCTACCTAAGTTCTGCCTTGCTATAGGTCCAAAGCAGTTTCTTTATTCATTAAACAATAAAAGCAACACATAGACAGAAGGACCTCCCATACCATTTCCCCTTTTCTGTTTAAACAAATGGTAATCACAGCATAGTCAGGACCTAGAAACAACCTAAATGCCTCTCGAATGAAGAATGGATAAGGAAAATGTGGTGCATTTACACAATGCAGTACTACACAGAAGAAAAAAATAATGAAATCTTGAAATTTTCAGGTAAATGGATAAAGCTAGAAAACATTATATTGAGTGAGGCAACCCAGACCCAGAAAGATAATTATCTTATGTACTCACTTATGTAAGTGGTTTTTAAACATAAAACAAGGAAAACCAGCCTACAAATCACAATCCCACAGAATCTAGACAACAAAGAGGACCCTAAGAGAGACATACATGGATCTAATCTACATGGGGAGTAAAAAAATACAAGATCTCCTGAGTAAATGGGTAGCATGGGGACCATAGGAGAGGGTTAAAGGGGAGAGGAGAGGAAGGGAGGGGAGCAGAGAAAAATGTATAGCTCAATAAAATCAATTTTTAAAAAAAGAAATGGTTTGGCTAAGTCATAAGAGAAAAGTAACTAAGACTTTCTAGTCTTCAACTGCATCAAAGACCTGAGAAAGGAGATAATATTACCTGAATAGGCAGTAAGTACAATCAAACAGTGTCCAAAATGTACAGTAGATAACAGAGACAACTGGCTACCTGGGCAATCACCCAAAGTCTCATTTGCAACTTTGGAGTAACCAACTTTGGCTAAGGCCTAGAATAACTGGAAGACCATTTTCAGAGGCAGAAAAGTTTTTAAAACCCATTTACCCTGTCTTGGCAAGGTTTGGCAGTCTTTTTAACTGTATCCTGCTTGTCCTGTCCGGACATCATGCATTTTGTCAGTGGTCATGGCATGGCATCTTCTTGCCCAAAGGCCAGTTTTGTCAAAAAGAAAACAAACTCCAAGCAGAGTATCTTCAGTGCCCAACATTCTCTCGGGAATAGATCAGTGCTGCCAACAGCAATTGTACCTCACATCAACAGAATCTTAAGTTATTTAGATGCCATATTCTACAGCTCTTTGAAGTGGTTGAAGATGACCTATCTATCTGGAATGCAATCTCTATGTATCTAAAGAACCTGATTAGTATGACAAACATGGATGACTATTAACCTATAAAATACTTAATACCTGTATAACTTAAAGACTAAGACTTTATATTAGAATATTAAACAATCTTTAAACAACTGTGCAACAAATGAGAACAATGACCTCAAAATATAAACAATGTGTAAGTATCTTGATTGGGGGTAGAAATGTATAATGCAATATGATAAATATATCCTAAAATTGTATCAATATAAAAAATGTCTTAAACAGAGGTAGAAACATGCATGTATATAATTTGACAAAACAGATTTGCATGGGTGTACAAATATTATAAATACAAATAGGAGCATGTTCAGTATAACAAATATAATTTGTATTTGTATCTATATACAAGAATCTATACTAGTGTAAACCATCTATAAATAATAGCTCACAAATATTCACTCTATCACTCACTATTATTATTAGTGTGAGCTTACTCACTCTAATCTCCCTGTTATCCCATTCAGGAGGTTCCCTGTCACTATGTCAAAGGCACTCCCGAGAAGCCTCACAGTTTCTGTGACTTTCCATAGGCCCTTTGGATGTAATCCATCTCATCTCAGTCACAATCTGAGAATAGAAGCACACCCTACCCGTGTGTGTGTGTGTGTGTGTGTGTGTGTGTGTGTGTGTGTGTGTGTGCACCACTCTGTACACACACCCCTTAGCAGAAACAAACCTTGCCTGCCTCTTCCTGCACCCGGCTGCCTGTGCAGTGCTTCCTGCTGAGTATCAGCAACCTCATTCTCTTTAGTGGACGCTAACAGGGACTCTGCGTCAGCTTCCAGGGGGGATTTTAGATGCCTGTTAAGACAAAAAGAATTGCTGAGGGTGCTTGAGAACATGGTCATTTTTATATTAAAAACACAGACAAGCCCATTAAACAGCGATAACTAATTCCTGCTTTGCCTTATTCTGCTAAGACACTGGCTGAAACAGCTTTATTCATTAACCGATAAAAGCAACACATAGACAGAAGGACTTCCCACACCATTTCTCTTTTTCTGGTTAAATAAAAAGGAAGGTTTTTAACATTAGCATAGTAAAATTACATATAACAAAACAGGTATCAATCAAGAATTACAGTTACAATATTTATAGCTACTTTATTTTTTATCATAACTAAGGAAAACTATAGCTATCTATTCTTCAACGCCATCAAAGACCCCAGAAGGATATACTATTACCTAAGTAAACAGAAAGTGCATTGCAAGCATCTTTCAAGGCTCTAGAGTTGACAGAGACATCTCGCTGCCTGGACCGTCACACAAAGTTCTTCTGTAACGTTGTGGGCACCCATCATCAGCCTCCAGGCCCATAGTACCCAGCAAACTTTTCCATGAAGCAGGAAATTTCAAAGACAGTTCCACCTATATTGGTAGTTTGTCAGTCACTTTCTTCTGTGTCCTGCAGAATGTCTGGAAGACTCTTTCATGAAACAGAAACTGTGAAGAACTGTCTCACATTCTTTAGGCAAGTTCAGCAGTCATTTCTCTGTGGGTCCTGCATGTCCAGTTTATACAGCATACCATCAAGCAGTTCAGACCAGAGCAGTGTCTTCTTCAAATGGCTAACAAACTTCATGAGGAGCCTCTTCAATGTTCATCATCTGATGAGGGATTCCCCTCTGTAGGCTGTGAATATCATTGGTTAATAAAGAAACTGCTTTGGGCCTATAGCAGAGTTATAGGGGACAAAGCTAGGCAGGGAAAACTAAACTGAATGCTGGGAGAAAGGAAGCAGAGTCAGGGAGAAGCCATGGAGCCACGCTGGAGACAGATGTGCTGAAACTTTGCTGGTAGCTACAACCTCATGGTGAAGGTGATGCACAGATTAATGGAGATGGGTTAAATTAAGATGTAAGAGTTAGCCAATAAGAAGCTAGAGCTAATAGGCCAAGCAGTTATTTAATTAACGCAGTTTCTGTGCGATTATTTCCGGGCTGAATGGCCGGAAACCAACAAGCAAGCTTTTACTATAATCATTATCTTTAAGTAAAACATTGGTGCTTCCAGGAGCAGGCAAGTCTCACCATCATGAAGAAAAAAAAAATCCTCACTTTTTAAAACATTTTAAATGTCATATTTCATAGGTCTTTGAAAGGTTTGAAGATTATCTACCTAACTGAAATACATCTCTATATATCTAGAAAACCTAACTAACACGACTTCAAGCTTGACTATTGTAGATGATTCTCTACTAACCTGTATTTCTTAATTATGCATTACATTGTAAATGATCTGTACAAACACAATACCTTAATCAAGAGCAGAATATACTTCTAACAAAATTAACCTTAAATTTTTATCAGTAAACCAAGATTCATACCAGCGCAAATCTCTACAGCATACACAATCCAAGAGTGGTTTATAGCTGTCCACTTCTCTCCAAATGAGTTAGTCTGTGACTCTTCCTGTTTTCTCATTATCTCTGCCTGATCTCAGGTCACATGTCCTCCCTCCCTCCCTCACTCACTCCCTCCTTCTCTCCCTCCATCCCTCCCTTTTTCCCTTCTCCTCCCTCCAGAGTTTATTATATAGCCCTGACTCACCTGGATCTTGTGGCACTCCTTCTGCCTCTGCCTTCTGAGCGCTGGCCCTTTCTCTGCCATTCTTAGGCATCTATTGTGTTTCATCGTGCCTTATCTGCATTCAAAGTCTTCTCTTAAGCTAAGAAATTTATTTCAGTGTTCTCATTGGTAACAAGTTTTTAATCCTCCAGCTCTCATCACCCTTGCTGAGGCAATGCCCAGGGGGCCTGGAAGAGCAAGGCCTGAACTCCACACAGCCCCTGGAGTGCAGAGAAACACAACATCAGCACATTGGTCTGCTGTCACAAGGGCCGAGCGCTGCGGTAGCTCCTTCTGCCACGATTAGGACAAAGCTGAGCATTTCCGGCAGGGCAGCAGGTCACAGATAGCAAAGGCATCAGGACCATGGCCCGAGAAGAATCTAGAGTCTTGCATAGGTGAGCAATCAAAATGCCCAAGCACAACCCTTGCCAGCTTCTGGGGAAGTCAGACGGACCTGCAATTTCACATGAGTGAAGTCAGTGTCTATTCAAGGTGTGGCTAGTGTCCCTTTGCCTACAGAAACTGGGCACTCCTAAGCCTTTCCTGGGGGTACTCTGATATCAAAGGTCATCTTTTTGTTTTGTTTTGTTTTGTTTTGTTTTGTTTTTTGAAAAAAAAATTAAAAAAAAAAAAGCTCTGTGTAGCTTTGGAGCCTGTCCTGAAACTCGCTCTGTAGAGCAGGCTGGCCTCGAACTCACAGAGATCCGACTGCCTCTGCCTCCTGAGTGCTGGGGTTAAAGGTGTGCGCCACTACCACCTCCTGGCTAAAGGTCACCTTCTAGTCAGAGTAACAGAACACTTACTGAGCCTGGCCATAGAAACTGTATTTGGGAAACAGTGCAGAAAGAAGGGACCCACTCTCAGTTTGGCGGAAAGGCACTGCCTTCCCACCCAAGAGTCTTTCCACTCTCTGATCCCATTTTTCCTGTCTCTGAGAGATGATAGAAATGCCCGTCCTTGTACTCCTGGGGGACACTGGTAAAAATGAAGAGGCCGGTGGGTTCTGTGGATTTCACCATCCATGATGAAGATACAAGGAATCCCATGACCTTCTCACATGAGCCGATTCAGACACACTCACTTCTTCTAGTTGCTTACTAGTGTGCATGTATGTACACAGTATGTCTCTGCGTGTGCATGTGTCTATGTGGGCAAGTACCACAGTATGAGTCAGTTCTTTCCTTCAAACGTGGGTTTCAGGGATCAAACTCAGGTCATCAGCCTTACAAAGCAAGTACTTCCACCTGTTGAACTTCCTTACCAGCCGGCATGTCTAAAGTGCAAACTGTGATGCTTCCGAAACTGATGCTTATGTATGCGCATGTGTGTGGTCCCGGACAGCTTTAGGACAGCTTGACACAAGGTAGCGTTATCTGAAAGGAGGACGCTTCAGCTGAGAAAATACCTTCATAAGATCTAGCTATGGGGTATTTTCTCAAGTACTGATCGATGCGGGAGGGCCCAGACCGTTGTGGGTGGGACCATCCCTGGGCTGGTGGTCCAGGATTCTATAAGAAAACAGGCTGAGGAAGCCATGGGGAGCAAGCCAGTAAGCAGCCCCCTCCATGGCCTCTGCATCAGCTCCTGCCTCCAGGATCCTGCCCGGCTTGGAGTTCCTGCCCTGACTTCCTTCAGTGATCACAGAGATGTGAAAGTGTAAGCCAAATAAACCCTTTTCTCCCCAACTTGATTTTTGGCCATGGTGTTTCACTGCAGAATAGAAACGATAAATATGCGTGTATTTGGTTTTAAAATTATTTATTGCTATCGTATGTAATCATGTGTTCGATGAGGGTGTAGGCTTGTGCTACGGTGCAATGTGTGAAGACCAGAGGACACCTCTGGGTTGCTGGCTCTATCTTTCCATTTTTTGTGGGTCCCAGAGATTGAACTCAGGTAATCAAGCTTGGTGGCAAGGTTTCACCAACTGAGCCGTCTCACCAATCCATATATTGTGTTTTTAGAAACACCATCTCACACTGTAACCCACGCTGTCCCAGAACTCATTACACCTCAAACTCTTATCTATCTTCCTACCTCAGACTCCCTAATGGGATGAGGGGTGTGAGCCACCACAGCTGGCTTCAACAGCTGATTTTACAGTAATTAACGGAAGCCCACAGACTGCTCCTTGTGAAGCTGCAAGTTGGTTTATTTTTGCCACAGGGAGCGCTACACTGTAAAGTGTGGTGTTGCTTTGGCTGGCACATGCCACCCCAGCAGCCCAACGGGCACGCTCGTCCTGTTCTGGCATGGAGACACGGTCCCTGCTTTGAAGCCTGTAAGCATCATTTGTCTCTTCTGTGTCTCCATGTGTGTCACATGGTGACATACGTGGGATCCTCTTGTCAAGGCAGAGCATCCTGAGTGGCTTCCTGCTCTTGCTTCCCATCTGAAGGCAGCTGCAAGGTTAGCACGGCTGTCAACTTGGCAGCACCTAGAATCATCCAGGGAATAAACCTCTGGGCATATTCATGAGGGAAGACCCAGCCTGAGTGTGGGTGTTCTGTGTGTATAAACATTTCCTGGGGTGATGCTACACACACATCTACTCACCCCAGAGAGGGATCCCACGACAGACCAAAGTACAGATATCACTAAAGTCCAGTTTGGTGAACCGATGAGTTTTATTGTGGTGACTTACAAGAATATAGGTGAGGGATGGCTTCCAGGAGCAGAAATGACTCAAAGGCAGTTGCATCACCAAAGCACGCCTCAGCATGGCTGACAGCTCACGAAGCTGGAAACCTGGAGCAACTGCAGAGCCTACAGAAAGGTCAAAAGGTTGAAGAGTATCCTTTCCCGGTGCCTCAGATGGTCTCAGTCTCTTCTTCCAGGCTACTGGTCTAGTCCCAGGGCCATCTTTGCTGCTCAGCTTCACTTCCTCTGAGAGGGGCTCTTGGCTTTTTATTATGTACTCTGGCAGGGAGGGGTCTAGGGAATCTGCTCAGTTTCAGGGACTTCCTGAAGCATTTTGTTGTTCACCTCCCTGTTTAAGCTGCTTTCCTGAGGGAGAACAGTGCAGAAAGTTTCAGTCTGAGAGGAAGCTGTTACACAAAAGGGTGGCATCGTTCTATGGACGAGGAGAAGTGAGTTTAGCACCCAGCAACCATCCCTCTACTTCCCGGCTGGGGATACCATGACTGTCGCCTGCTGCCTGCCTTTTCCACCATGACGGACTATACTCTCAAATTAGGAGCCAAAGTTGACCCTCCCTTGTTTAAACTGCTCTTGTCAGTTATGGGAGAGTTGACAACACAGCGGCTTTCCCTTTGTCCAAAACACAATGTGAGACAATGGTTTGAGACAGAAGCATCCCTCACTGAAGACATTTAGCCTTACAGACATTATCATTTTCTCATTACTTTTAGGAAGAAAACAGCATGCTTTATTTCTCACTAAGTACATGACTCTGTTCTCCTAGGGGGATTCTACCCATGCAAGTTAGCTAAGTAAGTGTGACTGCAGACAGGGCCCATATCTCTCTACACAGGTTTAATTAAAGTCATTGTTGTTTAAAACGGCATTCACTGGGAACCGGAGAGAAGGCTCAGTGGTGAAGAACCCTGACTGTTCTGGAGGACCGGTGTCCTGTTCCCAGCACCGCGGTGGCAGTTCACAGCTGTGTGTGACTCTGGTCCCAGGGATCCAAGACCTTCGTCTAGCTTCTGTGGTTACTGGACAAGCATGTAACGCACAGACGCATATGCAGACAGAACACTCCCACACAATAAATAAATAGATTTTTAAGTGACGTTCACTTATTCTCTTCAGCTTTCTTAAATAACTTGTTCCACAACGTCTCTAAATTAATTCATGGACTTCATTCATATAAACTTTGAGCGATGGGATTTGCCTTTATCAAGATACTTTTTTCCTCTATCCAAACCCAAGCTACTCTGGAAGAAAGGGAATTGCTGGTTTGAACCAGAATGCTGCCGTTGAAAGGCTTCTGAGCACATGGTGTTTATATTAAGGCTCTGTAGAGAAAGTGATGTTTCTCTACAGGAGATGTTGTGTTGGAGAGTCCCCTGCTACGCAGATGTGTAGAGGAGAGGGGCAGAGAGACGGAGCAAAAGAAAGAATGGATGAGTGACTCAGGGGACCATCCTGTCAGTTTGTGGGGCTCGGAGGGGGGTCTTCAGTGCCTAGGGCATGCCCACAGGATGAAGACTTAGCTGGTGTTCCAGCCAAAAGTCTGCACCTCACAGGGCAGCAGGGAAAGTGAGGCGGAATCTCTGGCTAATGTTCCCAGGATTCTGTTTTCACTGAAAGTGCATGGTCTTTGCTCTGAAGGCTTTCAGGCGATTGTGATGTGGGAGGTCCTTCTGCGCATGTGTTGCTTTTATTGGTTAATGAATAAAGCTGTTTTGGTCAGTGGCTTAGCAGAGTAAAGCTAGGAGGGAAATTCGAACAGATATAGAGAGAGTAAGCAGAGTCAAAGAGATGCTATGTAGCTGCCCAAGGAGACAGATGCCAGACAGAACCTCACCAGTAGACCAGAACCTCATGGCAATACATAGATTAATAGAAATAGGTTAATTCAAGATGTAAGAGCTAGCAAGGAATATGACTAAGCAATTGACCAAACAGTATTGTAATTAATATTGTTTCCGTGTGATGATTTAGGTCTGGGTGGACGGGAAACAGATGAGCAGTCTCCGCCTACATGATTGGACAGGGCTCATCCACATTTCAGAGGACAATGTATCTTCCTCAAAGTTCACTGATCTAAATGCCAGTTTCAAGTAAAAGGAAAAAAAGATCATCCACAGCAGCACGTATCGTGTTTAATAGAATAACTTGGCACACCAGCCAACCCCCAGCCACAGGAAGGCTTAAAGTCAAAATACACTATTTGGGGCCTTGCTGTGTAACCTGTGCTGACCTGAATTCTCAGCTCTCCTGCCTCTGCTGCCATGTGATTTTACAGCTATGTGCCTCCATGCCTTGCAAGGAGATGAATCAGCACAAGTTCTAGAAGCAGCTTTTTAAGAACCTGAGCTCACTTTGGATAATCAGTGGACGTAAAGGGGCAGTCTCCTTGCAAGGCAGCCCAGCCTTGAGAATCATAGACGGTGGGCATGTCCACATATGTAATCCAGTGTCTTAGCCGGCACATTCTAAACTTGCAACATTTCAGCATGGCCTGGACACTAAAATGTACGCCGCCGTTGTTTCTTAACGGTGACTCTCAGAAGCATTTTACACACAGAGAAACAGAGTGTTGAGTAGTGCCGTTCTACAAGCATGTTACACACAGAGAAACAGAGTGTTGAGTAGTGCCGTTCTACAAGCATGTTACACACAGAGAAACAGAGTGTTGAGTAGTGCCGTTCTACAAGCATGTTACACACAGAGAGAAACTGGGGATGAATAGTGCCATTCCACAAGCATTTTACACACTCCGGAACTGAACGGTGAGTAATGTCATTTTAGTACATTTCCCTAACCCCAGGCTCCCCCAGCAAAGGTCAGGGAGATGACTCTGGGTGGAAGTACTTCCTGCACAAACGGGAACCTGAGTTCTTATCCCTGGAACCCATATAAACAGTCAGGCATGGTCACATGGGCCAGTAACTCCAGTGCTGGAGGGGCAAGACAGGAGGATATTACAAAGGGCTTGTTGGACAGCCAGACCAGTCAAAGAGAAAATAAGAAAGAGCCCCAGGTTCAGTGAGAGACGCTGCATCAAAGGGACTAGGGCGGAGAGCTATGGAGCAGGATGACCCTTGATGTGCTCCGCAGATACCTGCATGCACGCACGCACACATGTTTGTTTACCTGCCCTCATATATATAACACACACTTTAGAGAGAGAATCAGAGCTAGCGCACGTCTGTGTTGGAGCACACGCCCAGCTGGAATGAGGCCATGGGCTCCATCGGCAGCACGGAAGGAAATCAGAGCTAATTTACTGTCCCCCAAGAGACTGCTTTCAGAGAATTATCCAAACCCTCAAACACCCCAAACCAAGGAGTCTCACAGTTCTAACCCAAATGTTGCATTTTAAAATGGACCCAAGATATCACACCAGCTAATTCCACAAATGCTGGACTGTTCAGCCAGTTCCACAAGACTTAACCCTCTTAGGGAGTGAGTTCTGGTCTGGGGATGAGACTCCAGCATAGATGGACCCAGCTTTGCCAGAGGAAGTGTGGGCCCAAATGCCTTGCCCATTATGACAGAGCTCCTCAGAAATGGATCCTCACCAGGCCTAGACAGTCCCTAGGGATTCATGAAAGGGCCCCACTGCCTTCTCAGGGGCTCTGTACACAAGCATCTTTGCCCATCAAGGTAAGAGGCTGGCCCAGGCAACACCTCTTTAGAGAGTTGTAAGTAGGCTTGGCTTCTCTCAGGATGTTCTGGAAGTCACTGAGCCATTAGCAATGAATGCAGACCTGGAGGGAGCTGCTAGGAGGGGCTCTGGGGTCGGGCAGTGTGGGGAGATAACCATCACCTCAGATGGGGGTCATGATACTACACTTGGAACGTTTACGAGGCCAGGCCTCCTTGTCCCGCTCCTGGGTCCGCCAGACCACGTCCCAGGATGTGTCACCCAGTGACAGCAAGGCGGCCTGTCTGCAGAAGCCATCCAGGTCCCCCTCTGCGCTTTGAAGTGATGCCAGCCTCCACACTCCTCCGCAGTTAAGTCTTTTCCAGCCGGAAACTGACTGAATAAACTCTGAAATCCGTAGGATTTACCTAAACTGTGAGTGGAGAGACAGCTGGGTCCTCTCCGTGGCTATCAGGGCCCCAGGGCAGCGTCCTCTCCCTGAATTTCTCCGAGTTCCACCTTGGGCACCCACAACTTTCTCTGCTTGAGCCCACCAGTTTCTAGACCCTAAAGATAAATTTGTTTTAAACTATTTATGAGTTTAAAGACACAAAGCACAGCTCCCACCTTAAAAAGAATCAAGGATAGTATGTTCTGAGCCAAATATGAGTGACCGTTGCCTGGAGAAAGGATCCAGGTGGTCCCTGTGTAGCTTGTTCTGCTGTGGGTTTGGTTCCATGAACTTTTATGTCTGCAGATCAAAAGACAGCCATGAATCACAGCCTTTAGCAAATGTGTTGGTGAGAACAACAGTGAACAAGGGAATCTCTGCTAAAGGTCTCAGCAGTCACCTGATGGCATTCTAGCATTTGGGTCGATGGACGCGGGTGTTGAGCTAATGCATTCCAAAGGTCCGACCCGGCAATCAAAAGGATGTTAGGTCAGACACCACAGTGCACCACAGTGTACCCCTAAGGAGACTGAAGGTAGCCCAAGATATTTCAGCTCTGGCTCTGCCACATTCCAGCTTTCCAGACCGCGGCATTCTAATCAATTAATCAACCTTGTAGAACCTTTAACATAGGTGTGGCTTGATTGGTGTGTGTGTGGGGGACTTCAGACTGTGCTGGAGATAGGAGGGTTGGGGGAAATAGAACAGTGTTACCCTCTCTCACAGGTGTGTGATACCCTCGTTTAGACCAGGTAATGGGAGGAACTCCCCCCATCCCCACACAAAGCAATTAGAGAACAAAGCAAGAGATAATAATCACAAGCAAAATCATGCGGTTTAGGTGAAACATGATTTAAGGAGGTTAAAAGGAAAAGGAGCAGAGAGAGTATGGGCTTCATTTGAGGCAGCTTCATTAACACCTCATAGATATACTTTAAAAGACAAATTGGCAAGAAACCTTCCTTGAAGGGTCCGGTAGAAGGGGCTGTGAGGGTGGAGGATGACTGTGAGCAGTTAGACACAGTCACCGCTAATTTGCTAGCGTCAGATCCCAGCTCCAGGAAAACAAACACCTTCTGTCGGCCCTTGCACACGCTTGCATGCTGCAGTTGGAGAGCCCGGGCTGGGGAGAGTATCTGGGAGGTGTTTCACTGCCTCCAGAGGCTTCAGCCTGCCTTTCCTTCATTGGCTCTTCGAGCATGCTAATGCCTCTCTAACGGTATTAAAAGAAATCTGTTGAGCCTCTTAGGAAGCTACACAACAACCAGTCTTAAAATAGCTGCACTTCTGGCCAACTTCCTCATGCTCACAAGGCGATTCCTAACCCACGGCTGCTCAGAAGTCCAGGCAGGCTCCCAGGCAGGGCTGGCTCCACAGGACTCCCCTGTGCCAAAGGAAAAGGGGCCAGGGCAACCCAGGCATTGACATCACCATGGTGAGGAGGAGAGAGCAGGAGAGAGGAGTCTCTAGGCTACTGCATGGTTCTTGGCTCTGGGACTAGGGGCCTGGGGACAACACGGGATGGGAGCTGCAAGATAGACTTCCAGGATAGACGCCCCTCCTCCAGTGGACCCGATTCCCTGTACTTCTCTATGCTGATCCCCAAGTCTAGGTTTTTCAGTAAGTACACACTTGACTGCACTGTCCACTCATGTGTGTGTGTGTGTGTGTGTGTGTGTGAGAGAGAGAGAGAGAGAGAGAGAGAGAGAGATCTTTTGAGATGGGAAGATACAGCTTTAATCTGGACCACACCTTCTGGCTAGCAGCCTATATAAAGGACACAGAAGAAGGAAGCTAGTTTGCTTTGTCTGCGTGTGCTTGCTTTTGCTAAAGTCCATTCCTGAGCTGTCCTTAGTGCCTACTTCTTTGGGGTTCTGGCATATACTGAAGACCAGCTGAGACGTCCAACCTCTTGGACTGAACAACTATTGAGTTCTTGGACCTTCCATTTGTAGACCGTTATTGTTGGACTAGCTGGACCACAGCCTGTAAGTCATTCTAATATCCAAATATATATTTAATTTCTGTCCCTCTAGGGAACCCTGATGAATTTATCAATAGGCCTTTCTCCTCATCCCCCATTCTTTATAAACTGACTTGAAATATTACTTCAAGGAGAGTGAAACCAGAGCCTCTAATGGGAAGGACGACCCTCTGAGGTAGTCGCGTAGGTGGCCAGTACTCGCGTCCCTGTACAGACGAGAGAAGAAGAGAAGCAGGAGAGGCCCACAGATCCTCAGTGGTCAACACGGGCAGCCTCTAGGAGAATCCTGGTTACCCATCACCAGGGTACATCTGGGAATCCCTACACTGAGGTGGGGGTCTCTAGGAGGCCACTTCCAGATATCATGTTCTTTCCTAGGGTGAGACCTATAGCACAGTTAATAAAAACCCACAGACAGAAATTGGGGTTCGACCTGAAGGTTCAGAAAAAGCAAAACAGCCAGCCACTGACTCTTACCTCGACCTCAGTCAGAAATGGCGATGCTGCCTCCAGGAATCTCAGAATGAGACTGTGTCTGAGAGCTGTTTCCTCCTGTCTTATATTCCTCTCTAGGGCTGGGATTAAAGGCATGCACCACTACTGCCCAGTTTCTGTGGTGTGTGTCACCACTGCCTGGTCTGTAAGGCTGACCAGTGGGGCTGTTTAACTCTCTGATCTGCAGGCCAGCTTTAGTTATTAAAATACAAATGGAATATAACTACAGAGAACTTAGGTGCAGAGTCCCCTTCGTGATTTACTGTAGAGTCCGTCACTGTGTTAGATCCGACAAGTTCTACAAATGGTGGCCGGTGCGGAGTGGGACAGGAACTCTGTGTGCCTGGACTTTGCAGGTTCCCATGAAAGCATTCATTTCGGTGCTGACCCACGGTATGGCCATAGATCTGATGACTCTTCTCGTAGGGGAGATGGACCGCCTGGGAAAGTGTGGGAAACCGGGAACGGTGCACAGTGGGGAGACACAGCACCACCCAAATTGGGTCACCGTGACCTGACCACTGAGGCTGCTGGGAAGGCACAGTCTAGTGTGGAAAAAGTAGACCTCTGGCAGGCAGGCCTTGATGCGTATAGCCCGGATGGTTTCTCACGCTGGGAGACATGAAAGGCAGCTGGCCACTGCGCATCCCCTGGTCTCCGCGCCTCCTCCACTGGGATGGGATGTATCAATGGGCCTTACCCCCAGGTAGAGCATCCTTCCTTCAGTGGCTGCTTGTCAGCTACAGGGGTCACAGCCATGAAACAAAGAAACCGATAGACCTCCATCTCTGTCCTGCTCTACCCTGCTCTGGGACTGGTCTTCAGGTTTGCTCCATACCCTGTTCAGTACCTAATAAGGGATCCTTAGGGCTTGAGAACAGCCCTGAAAGCTACTACACACAACTACCTGCCCCTCTCTGTATGCCAGGCATCCTGTTGGGCACCTTTCAACGTCTTCCAGAATTCAGGAGCGTGAGAAGCTTTACTTCTCCAGAAACTAGAGTCCAGAAAACTGGACTGGGAGCCCTGGGTGCACAGATGTAGACACTGTGGCAGAGAAAATGACCCCAAGGTGGCGGGTGCCTGAGCGGCCACTTGTTGTGGAGTGAGCCCTATCTCCCACCCATTTGCCTCTTTTCTCCCCCTGCTTCAGCGCCTAGGACCTCTCTGCTGCCCCCTACCTGTCATCAGTGTGGGGACGCCATCACAACAGTGTTCAGTGCTGAGTGGATCCAATGCTGTGCTCGGCCTGCTTCCCAAGCTTACTTATCCACAGCTGTGTCTATTCCAGGGGAAGGGCTCATGTCTCCTCTCCGATGGTGTGGAGATGAACTCCAGAGAGCCTTCTGGGGGTGCAGGAGGGCGGAACCCATGCTTGGATTTCCCCTTGGGGCTGGCTGTACCTTCCTTCCTGTGAAACCACTTAGTTTAAAAAGGAAATATGTCATAGGGCAAAACAAAATCTGGTTCTCACAGGAAGCCCTAGGGGCTTAGAGCTAGATTGCCCTGGACTCTAAGGTTAGAATCCCACCAAGGACAAACACAGTTCCTGAGGAACAAGGTGCCATCTTCAGGACCCGCAGCAGGGTAGCTTCCATCACAGGACAGTTAGAGGCAGAAATTATTTTACCAGAGCCTCTGTGTCTTAGTAAAAGGCTCTGGCTGTCACACACACACACACATGCACACGTGCATACACACTTGCACACACACGTGCACACATATATGCACACGCATGCACACACACATGCACATACACGTACACACACACATGCACACGTGCATACACACTTGCACACACACGTGCACACATATACGCACACGCATGCACACACACATGCACACACACGTACACACATACACACACACGCACTGTTTTGAGATGTGGTGATCCAAATGGGGAAATAAACGAATGCCCTCCCAGGGTTTGATATTCTCTATCTTCCTCCAGCTCTGACCTGAAGAGCGATCCGACTGTTGTCAAATTAAAAGGCCTGTGAGCCCCACCTCCTGTGCCGCGGCCTCGGAATTGGCTCTCAGTCCCACCTCCCATCCCGCTGATGAAATGAACCCAAAGATTAGATAGTCTGGGTGTGGGAACTCAATGCAGGAAAGAGGAGGGAGGGCGAAGAGGAGAAGCCCACGAAGGCGATTTCTCCGAGTCAGCCAGCCTGTTGTTCTATGCGTTTCCTCCCCTAAAGCCTCCAGCCAGGCTCTGCCCCCCCCCGCCCCGCCCCCACTTCCTAAGGTAACAGCGGCTTCAGGGTCAGAGAAAGGTTTCTCCTGCTTCTTAGGTGAGCTCTTCTCAGAGCAGCGTTAACCCTCTCTGCTAGCAATTCCCTTCCTTTAGTTAAAGAATAGCAAGATGTTGCTATTGAAGCCTCTGCTCAAAGAAATCATGAGTATTTTCCATGTGGTCGTGTGTGTCTGTGTGCATGTTTATTTGCTCTTGTGTATGTGCGCGTGAGCGTGTGTGTGTGTGTGTGTGCACATGTGCATGTGTGTGTGTCTGTCTGTCTGTTTCTTCATGTGCCACCGCACACCCCTGGAGGTCAGAGGGCCTGCTAGGCTGCAGGGTTTCTTGTTGGTCACTGTGTGTTCCAGGCTAGGAGGCTCATGAGCTTCTGGGCTTCTCTTGTTTCTGCTCCCCCGCTGAAAGCAGGACAGCTGGAACAGCAGGCCCGTGACCACCTCTGAATCTGTGTGAACTCAGGTTCTCATGATGGAACAGCGAAGCGCGAGCCCTTTACGCTCTGGCCACATCCCAATCCGCTCTGCTAATGTTTTCAGTAAAGCAGGTAAGCACTTACGTGCCATTTGCTGTGCACTAGAAACTTCTTGGTATGTTTGTATCAGTGTGCGAGGGCATTTACTCTTTACAGCAGACCAATGAGGAAACTGAGGCAGAGCCACAGAGGGCTTGTAGGATTTACATGCACCAGGAGACTTGGTATAGGGTAGAGGTCAGATGGGAAGGGGCCGCAGGCCCTAAATCTTCCCTGCTAGCCTCTCCCTGGTTTTATAAAAAGATTGGAGTTTTTTTTTTTTAAGAAAGAAAGTGCAGACCCATAAAGCGACTTCACAGACTTACTTCTGTTGTATATCTAAAGGTCTCACGGTACAAAACGCTCAGACGGATTCACTCTAGTGTCTTCGTGTTTGTATAACGGCTGCACGCTCTTCTAATCCTTGACCCACATTTGCCTTGCTTCTCGCCGTTGTTGGATATTGACCTTGTCCCACTTCTTCAAAATAAAAATAAATCATGCTCCAACGAGCATCTTTGCCATGTGCATTTCCCTCTACTCTCAAGGATGGGTGGAACAAACTGCCCATAGCTGGAAAATTCTACAAAGTCCACACAGATTATGCCTGGGTTACTTACGTACCCTCAGCACATGGGGATTCCTCTCACACGTGGAAACTACAGATGATCACAAACAAGGCAGAGAAAAAGAACACTGAGGACCGATGTCATTTTAAAAAATGAATACAAAATTTTAATTGAAATACTACCCAGACGAATCATGAATTGCACGTCACGAGATGCAGGTGTCGTCCTAGGAGATCAAGGACTTCACAACAAGCAGATGAAAGGCAAAGATGGACGCAGCTCAGATTAAAGCCACTGTTTAAATCTCCAACCACCATTCCTGGGGAAGAGTCTTGCTTAGGAACTTTGTGGAAATAATTAAAGGCTTAAAAGAGAAGCGATAAGAGGGCCTGATGGTGTTATCTTCATCTGTCTTGGTGGCTTGAATATTACTTCCAATATTAATACTAATGTAAAAATGCTGTAAATTCAAAAGCTAAGATTATCTCTGGGATCAGAGAATATTATTTCAAGTTTAACACGTCCCAAAGCTTAGCAAGAGCAAACATGATCAAGTTTTCAGCAAAGTCGTAAAAGTGCACAAAAGTGCTCTCTTTACACATGCCCACGGGTGTATAAAATTCTGCGTTGCTTTCTATATGCAATGGCTCACAACAGCAGTGACCGCTGCATCCCTCAAAATCATACAGATATGACTTAAACTAAATAACCACATTGCCTCGCAGGATGAAGTTCAGTATTCCACAGTGGTCTCTTCTCCTCAAGCAGAAAGTTTAACCCAAACCTCACTTTGACACAGAAGAGCATCCCTTAGGTTGTGAATGGAGGTGTCTAGCAGGCGAAGGAAGTTTGCAGAGGAGGGAGTGAGCATCGCAGGCGCCCTACCCTGGTTCAGCGCCTGGAGCTCAGAGGGTGGAGACAGGAAAGAGAAGAGCAGAAAAGGGCAAGGTGTGATGTCTGGGTGACAAAGGAGCGATCCCTGCACACACACAAATGGTGGGAGCCATTGATGATTCTCAGGGGACGGAAGGACTTTGGTGCCTAGCGGGACTAGCGGGAATAAACCAAGCTGCGGCTGGAAGGGTGGAGAGACGGAAAAGCTGGAGAGTCAGCACTGGACGGGGAGGGATTTGTTGCTGTTGTTCTTTTTTTTTTAAATTATTTATTTATTTATTATGTATACAATATTCTGTCTGTGTGTATGCCTGCAGGCCAGAAGAGGGAACCAGACCCCATTACAAATGGTTGTGAGCCACCATGTGGTTGCTGGGAATTGAACTCAGGACCTTTGGAAAAGCAGGCAATGCTCTTAACCTCTGAGCCATTTCTCCAGTCCTGTTGCTGTTGTTCTTGCATAAGATCAAGATGAAAAAAAGTACGAGCAAAAATGTCGGTGCTCTGACCAAAGACATCACAAATGGCAGGTAGAATACCGCACAGCTGGTCTACAGACGGAGCTGTGAATCGCTAATACACAGGCAAAAATATCTCCACGGTGGAGAGCCCCAGACAGAAACATGGAAAGCACAGGAACACTCAGTCCCCAGGAATAAACACCCAAGTGGGCAAAGGCAGTCAAAGGTGCTGAGTGATGTTTAACACAAACGAGGAGTGGATATTTACATTCACCCGTCAGATCAGCCAGGAGATATTAACGCCCCTTTTTAGGTAAAGATGTAAATATATTGGCAAACCCTGTGACACACTTCATAAAGAAAAATGAGCAACCCTTAGTGAAGCCCTAAATACAGCCATGCTTTCACAAGGAAGTCCACCAAGAAGAGTTTACCTTTGAAACACTCAAAGCATTCCGTCTGATTATTAATGCACACATACACTGATATGCATTGCGGAATTTTTTAACTAGAGGACTTTGGGAAGTTCATTGCTCCCCCGAAAGAGATGAGATGAATGAATTCTGCTACTGTTGTACCCTGGAATCTTAGCTTTTGCTAACAAAATGAAATTGGCCGACACTGTGCTAAGATGCAAATGACTGCCGCAGAGTTTCAAGCCACAGCTGGACAGACTTCTGGACACGTGGGTATGCAGAGACGCCTCTTGCCTGGCAGTTGCTCACACTTTTGTACACGGTTGAGCAGTGTGCAGTGTGTACCTTTTTTTCAGATACATACCAAGAAAACGGTAAAAACCCAGGGCTGTACACATGATGCTTGATGGGGGGGGGTTAAAAAGAGAAATCACTGTTTTGCTTTTTAAAAATAAAGATATATATTTCAGTGTGTGTGTGTGTGTGTGTGTGTGTGTGTGTGTGTGTGTGTCTGTGTCTGTGTCTAGGGGGCGGGTAGGTATGTGCACATGGATGCAGGTGCCTATGGAGGCCAGAACAGAGAGTGTGGGTCCCCTGGAGGTGGAGGCACAGGCAGTTGTGAACTGCCCCAGGCTGTTCTCTGAGTGGGCAACAGGCAATGTCAGCTAACCAGTGAGTCACTCTCTCCAGTCCCATTAGGTATTTTATGTGTATGGCTGTTTTGCCCACATGCATGCCTGTGTATACATGTGTGCAGTGCCTGAGTGTACATGCATGTCTGTGTATACATGTGTGCAATGCCTGAGGAGGCCAGAAGTGAATGCTGGATCCCCTGAAATGGGAGTTACAGACCATTGTGATCACCTCTGTGGGTACTGGGAATCAAGCCCAGGTCCTCCAGAAATACAGTCAGTGCTCTTAACTGCAGAGCCATCGCTCCAGCCCCAAGTTCCAAATGAACGTTTTAATCTTCCATGCCGTTTATTTATGAATAGGCATTTCTCTTATAGTAATACAAACACACCACATAGTGGCAACACTTTTAGACAGAAGATGTTAAAGGGCTGAGGGTTGGGGCAGCAGCAGATGCATGGGGCCATATTCCCCTAGCCTTCTTCCGGGGAGGACTGGCGGCCAGATAGCCTGAGGTGCAGTCCTCTGCCAACTCCGTCGGCAGTGGAGAGCTTTCCAGTGTGAGTCATTCCCAATCCTTTCACCCCCGTTCCCACCATCCTCCTCACTTGGGTCTTCCACGCTGCTGGCTGACCCCTGACCTGCTCCTAGCGATGAGAGC